TCACGAAACGTCATTCCTGGTCTCCCTAAACCCTGTTCTGAACTACATGTTGGAGCATTTAATGTACGGACATTGTGTCAAATAGGGCAACAGGCTTCCTTAGCTAGGAATTTAGAATCTCGCTCAATCGATGTGTTCTGCGTCTCGGAAACGCGCATACAGGATCCTAGTAAAGTCATTAATTTGATTTCACCTTGTCAAAATAAAGGAGCAGCTCGATTTACTCTTCGTGTATCTGGAAGCCCTGATGCTGCTTTCCGGGGTCTCGCTGATGTAGGTATAGCATTGAGTCGCAGGGCAGAACTAGCTCTCCTAGACTGGATCATTGTAGATAGTCGCTTGTAAGCTGTCTGACTAAACCTGATAGTAAGGACTCGGAAAGATAGGGACACTCGCAGTTGCCTCTTCGTCATATCAGCCTACGCCCCCACTGACTGTTGTTCGGACGATGTAAAAGATGTGTTCTACAGAAAGCTTTCGGACCTCCTCCAAAAAGCTAGGCACTCTGATATAGTAATAATGGCTGGTGACTTTAATGCTCAAGTAGGTAGACTAAGTGGAAATGAAAGACACCTGAGTGGATCTAATGGTGTCGCGACTAAGAGAACAGATAATGGCGACCGTCTGTTGCAGCTATGCTCAGATAATCGCCTATTTCTAGCAAACATGAACTTTAAGCATAAGGAAAATCATCTCGTTACCTGGTGACCCCCAAAGTCGTCGCAACGCTGGACCCAACTAGATCATATCGCCACCAGCCACCGACGGAGGGGTTCGATAGAGGACTATTGCTCATTCTATAGCACATGTTTAGATTCAGATCATGCCCTAGTGCGAGCTCGTATTTGTTTGAGGCCGACTGGAAGCAGGAAAGACACCGCCAGAAAACCTCTTAGGATTATACTTAATGATAATAAAGCTAAGAATATATTTCAGGAACAACTAGAAAAACAGTTAGGCGACCATGTAAGCAATACCGACCCGGAGGCAGGTTGGAATGTCATCAAAAAGGCTGTGGAAACAGCAGTGAAATCTGCTAGCCGTAAGTCTAGGAAGAAGCCGTAGATTTCCGTAGCATCTACCGAACCGATGGATGCCCGAAAACTCATCCCACCTGGCTCTCAGTGCGATGAGGAGTGGAGTCAGATCAGGCGCATGCTAATAAAAAGCCTACGCAATGATCGAGAACAGTGGTCGGTAGTGAAAGTGAGAGAAATGGAAAAGTCAGCAGCGATAGGCAACAGTAGGCAACTATCCAGACTCATCAATGAAACTGGTATTAGGAATCCGAATGTGGGTGAGACTATCTCAGAAAAGGATGGTCTTATTATCCATTCTCATTCCAGGAGACTGGATCGATGGGCAGAACACTTTAAGGATCAGTTCAACTGGCCTTCACCAACATTTCGGTTACCCACGATCCCCAGTCATCCTGAATGGCAAATCGATGTAAGTCACCCGACTCTTTATAAGTCGAGAAAGCGATAAGAAATCTGGAGTGAGAGCGAGTAGCGGGTCCTGATAGATTGACCCCTGAGATATTTAAGGATGGTGGTCCAGTTTTAGCAGTAAAACTGACCAATTTTTTAAGTAGAATCTGGGAACTGGACACAGTCCTATCCGACTGGTCTCAATCACTGATTGTCTTAATCTATAAGAAAGGACAACAGTCCTCTTGTGACAGTTACAGTGGAATAAGCCTAACTAATATAGTATCTAAATTGTTAGCCTCCATTATACTTAGATGCCTAACTAGTGCTCGTGAAGAGCAGAATAGAGAAAACCAGTCTGGTTTTTCACATGGACTTGACTGTATAGACCATATCTTCACACTACGACAGGTCTTGGAACACAGACCCACATTTAGGTGTTCGACAATAGTTGTGTTCCTGGACCTTAAGGCGGAATCTGACTGTGTGGGCTGTGAGGTTCTGTGGCAGTGTCTGTCATTGAAAGGTTTACCAAAGAATTATATTAACCTTATACAAGCTCTCTACTCGAATACTACAGGTCGAGTGAGAGCTTATGGCGAGCCGTCATCGGAATTCTCTACTTCAAGTGGTGTTCGTCAGGGATGTTCACTCTCTCAATTATTGTTTAATTTTCTCACAGGCATGCTCCTAGATATAAGCTTACCCTCGTCAGATTTTTCAGGAATGGCCCTTCTATTAGGAAAGTCATTCTTTGTTTTATAATATGCCGATGACATAGTTCTATTCTGTGAAGACGCTAACAAAATGCAGAGTCTTCTGACTACCCAATGCAACGATGCAAGCATGTTCAGGATGCGATTCTCCCAGTCCAAATGCAAAATGCTGCTTCAGGTTGGGTTGGATAAGCACCTGAACTAGTGAGAGGGAATGATTCAGTTGAGTATGTTGACCGCCTCACTAATCTTGGGAGTCTCATCAGTCTAGATGGCCTGGTGTCTGCCGAAATCTCATCACGGATACGGAAGGCTCGATTTGGTATTGCCAACTTGCGTCACTTATGGTGTGGGTGAAATATTCATCTGCTAACCAAAGGATGAGTGTACTGCTCAGTAGTTCGCTCCGTCCTAATTTATCGCTGTGAAACATGGGTATGAGCAGAAGATATTCGTAGGTTACTTCTTTTTGATCATCGGTGTCTCCTAAGCATCGTGTATCCTGGGACAATGGAGTAGGCAATGCTGTTGTTAGGAAATGGGTGCAAGGTAAGGATGACAGGTCAATATACGAAGTATTTAAACTTCATCAGTTGAGGTGAGTGGAACATGTTGTGCGTATGCCTGACCACCGACTGCCTCGAAGAGCAATATTTCGTGGTGTAGGAGTAGTTTGGAAGAAAGTTAGGGGCAGCCAGACCAAAACATGGCATAAATACATAAAGTCACTGAGTGATGTCGGTAGGTGTCGACTACCTGGTTGGGGTCCGCGAGATGTTAGTAATCGATGGTTAGAAATCCTGAATGGTATGGCTCAAAACTGTTTGCAATGGCGCAGAAGCATTCATTCTTCGTGTTCTTTCAAATCCTAAACTTTTTAATTCTTCATCACTTGATCTTTTTAAGTCTATTTCACTAGATTCTACTACTATGGGATTTGAATTTACAATTATATATCTATGCTGTCGTTGTATGGCAACATGAACTGATGTACGTACGTACGAAGTTCTACGTGGCTATTGATTGATTAATCAAATAATTGTACGGTTTACTTACGTGTGGAGTAATCTAATATTGTACGCATACAAATTAGCAGACTGTTATTAAAATCATATCAAATGCTTGGTACTGACTAATACATAGCGACAGATCATTTTAATAAAATCCTTGGTACTACACTGTGATGTATTATTTCTCCGTAAAATTAATAAAACTATCTGCAGGTGACTTGAGAATGAAAATTCTACGTGCATTTTTTTCTTGGTTTCAAATACATAATACCAGTATTTTATGACCATTGCTAAAATGAATATTTTAAACTCTTCAACATTTTCAGAAGTTAATTATGACAATATTTCTGAGAATTTGCTAATGGTATAACAAAAACTCACATACTAAATACTAGTATAATAAAATTTTCTAACTTCTTAGTTTACATCAGAATCAATGTAAATTAGTTTGAATTTAATAAGTTACAATCTAGATATATCAGTTTCTTCGTATCAAGTAATTGATTATCATTAGTGAGAAAAATTACCAGTGCGTTCTACAATTCAAAATAATATTATCAATTAGTATCAATAATACTTGAAAGCAAATTCATTATAGTTTAGGAATTGGATAGCGGCAAAACGCTTCAAAGAATTTCTGAATTATAAATTTCATTTCAAGATTGATTCAAATGAGCTATTTGATAGAAGTTAAAGACTGGATTCTTTTTTTTTTAAATTTAGTTGATTTGTCACAGTTTGATATGAATATTTAAAAACAATTAAATGTTAATATATATATGTGATGAATTTGTAAATTATTAATGCATATAAATTTTATTTCTATGTTAAATACTCCTTTGTTTCTATTAGAAGTAGTTCACAGGATTCTGTAGTTTTCTAATCAATGGACAAATTAACTTGCAACATATTCTTCAGTTAGTATATTTATTTGAATTTTAAAAAAATATATAGAAAATATTCATTACCAATAAGTGGTATCTTTATTTTTAATAGTAAAGCAATTTACAACAAATCTAACCATTTCTCTATCTTCTAATACAAAAGAAGTAAGTTTTGGGACTGTGGAATAGTTCGTTGTGTAAATTATATATATATATATATATATATATATATAATTGAGTTATTAGTGAAACATCTGCTCAAAGAGTTAATATACCATGGAGGTTTAATCAACTTAGTTACGATTATCAAGTGTTGGAAGGTTCAATCACATAAGCACAATATTCATTGAATAAATCTTTAGGCAGTTCTACTCAATAGCCTAATGAATTATATTCCCATATTTGACTTGAAAAGTACTGTAGCCGAATTTCAGGACCGAGTTCGTCTTACAAATTGCTAGACACTATGTAGAATTTTATCGTACATGAATATTGGTTAATGTTAATCAAAACTGGCAATTTGTAAACATTCTTATCCTCAGACATACATCTTTCTTTGTTTCCAACGCATTGAAATTTCTGGATACTTCTTGACAGACTGAATACAATTCAACAGTTATTTTACAAACTGCAGAAGATTTTTATCCCGTAAATGATATTTCTATAAATTTGCTCATTATGGGACATAACTTGCCAAATTACCACCTCATAATTAAGCATAAATGTAAAATGGTATCAATGAACAAAGATGACTGTTCAACGAAACATCTAAATTAATACTATCGACATAATACTGTAAAAAATGTATTTAAAGACATTTCAATAGAGAAGATAATCTCATATATTCATTTATACAATACAATAAACATGAGAAGAAAATAATCTATACAGTAATAGGAAATAAATTATTTATAAAAATGTACAATTATTTGATATTAGCATCAAAAAAGCTTTTGTTGGAAAGAGTGGAAAAGCAAAATAAGCTAATACAAATGAGTAAAAGTATTCTATTATGAAATGCGATTATAAACTCTGTGTGAATACATACATACATACATAAATTATAATAGGCATTCATTTAAATGAATAATAATATACTTGAATTTGTCTGAGGATTCTATTAAACAAAAGGAAAATAAACAAGTTAGGATAACTGTTTTCTTTTTTTTAATAACAATGATAATATTGATAAACTTTGCAAATTTAATCTAAATTGAGATAATATATCTGTTATAGAATGAATTAACAAAAATTAATTTCATGAAAAATGAAAAAGAATAATCTGCATATCTCAATGTGCATGTAATATGATATACATATATGTTTGTAATTGTACATTGAACCAATTAAAGTATCACAGAAATGAGAGAGAGATTCCAAGTATACATTCAGTCACCTTGAATGATGATTCCAAGGCTAGATTGGGTAATCAATACTGAAAATGCACATCGAAATAGTTAAACAATAAATGGCATCATCTTTATACAAGATATATATATATATTGATTATTGTTTGCTCTTTCACAATAATATAGAAATTACAAAATGAAGAAAGGAATTCAACTGAAATATTCTAATGAATTCAAATATAAAAAAATGTAAATCAATGATATTCTGTTGATCTGTAGTCTTACTGATAACATTGATCAATAATAATAATCATACTAACATTAAATAATCAAGTATTCAATAAGATCACTTTTTCAGTTGTTCTTGATGTAGATGAGATACATCTATTGCCATTAATAATAGAAGAAGTAGTAGTATCGTTATTGCTGGTATTCTCTGAGTCTCGTTTACAACTAATAATAATTGTTCGTTCACATTCAGTTTTCTTAATCTGTTGATGTTGTTGTAATTCTTCCATTTCAGCAATGGATCCATACACCCAATCGATGAATTGACGACGACAAGCTTCAGATGGCATATTTAAGCTAATTACAGGTCCGTTTGAATTACACAATTGAACTCCATATCGATAATCTGATCGAATCAACAAATAATCACAAAAAATACCAATTTAGACGAAATCAATAAACACGAAATTCAAAAGATGAATTTTAGTCAAATATCAAGTCATCCATTATTTTATTCTGAGCCTACCACCTCAGCACATTTTCACAACGGGGGGAAAAACGCATGGGGTTCAGGTTCGGAGTTAATTTCCACATTATGAGCTTTCGTTATAAATACAATATTGTCTTTCCCCTCCCCCCCCCACATACCACATCATAGAGTGAAGCGTTTTATATATTTGTTTTTCCCCAATGATTATAAACATATTTCAAATATTATCATTGTAACAAATATTTTCCTTCAACAATCCATTGTAAAAACTTAGCAGGGAGTCTTTTTAGGCAGAGAAACATTGTATTATTTTACATTTTTATTTGCGTGCATAATCAGTAATTAGGTTCAGAGCAAGATAACTGAAGATTGTGACAAACTAGCAGTGCGAAAAAACAGACATGCGATTAGACCGAATTTAGCTTTTACAAACTTACACGTAATTTATTTTACCAGGCCTATAGTCGGGTTGTCAGTGTTATATTTGAAGATAACAATTCTCATCGCTCTAGGCTCTTATGTATGTAACTACATAGCACTGTACGATACGATTTGCTTTGGAATTTATGTGCATAATCTCTCCGGTGTGAACTTAATGTTGAAGCTCGTTAGAACAAAGTAATTATGTGTATTACCAGTGACGAATCATATAGCTTACCGTATGATATTACTCTGACAGAGACATGTGAGATACTTCGTGACCGTAATATAATTTCCATTTATGACTCAACTGTTTTCCGTAATCTCGAGGAATTCTATGTATATTACATAAAATATAAGGCTCAGAAAAGTTATAATACTTTTCATATCTAGCACCATTAGAACAAATATCAGATTATGTAAGTTTCAAATACTGTTCAACCAAAATAACGTCACGTCAAAATTATTAACTATTAGCACAATGATAAAGCAAACTTACAATTTGATTCAAAGACTAGCACTCGAAGGTCAAGGAATGGATAAACATTTCTAACTTGATAAGTTGCATCCCCTGTAAATGGTTCAGTTGAACAGAACACCTTTTTTGTCACATCTTGAACCAGATCGGAAGGACTGTAACTTCTGACATCTCTGGATAGGGCATTTCTTGGTGTATAATGACGACTAGTAATTTGATCACCCAAAGCTACTGAAGCGACAGAATTTATAAGTGAACCTGAACGTAAACGTGTTGTACTCAATGATTTTACAATCACTAATATATCATTAAATATTAATAAGTAGCGCCATCGAGCATTATTTCTACTCGGTAATCTTCGAGGAGCAATTTTTTCAATTTCTTGTGTCAATATCCGACCGACGAAACGGCGATGACGTTGCACAAAATTGTCTGTTTTTAAAGGACCAACCAAAACACCATCCAAAGCACGAAGTTTATCTGATGGATCTGGCAGTGTTTTAAACTCGGATGCAGCTATACGATCATAAATGCCAATCAGTAAATCGGTTGACACATCATGATCTGAATCAATTCCACGATTATTATTAATAAAGCCTTGTTTAGTCATTCGTTTTCCCAATTTTCCAACATTAGGATTATGAAGATCTGTGTGTAATAAAAGTACTGAATATGCTAAAACTTCTACGGTTTCGGAACTATGAAAATTTTTCTTGACACGTTCTGGATTTTGTATTATATATACTTCATGAAATATTTGCATTAGATAAGCAATTTTTTGAGATTCACCCTGAAACAAAAAATATACAAATTGTCCAATCAAGATTTGTAAACAACCAACTCCATTGAACTAAATTTCATAGAAATCATAAATCAATCTACATTAGATTATCATTGAAAAAAACTAGAAGCACCTCCTATCCTGGTGTGGAACTCTTCAATATTGAGCATAAGGAATTAAAAGCCATGACTTTCGATCCCGTGTACGAATGCCAACCATCAGACAAACGAAGTTAATATTTAACTTCAATTAATCGACGGAATCGCGCAGCCAGCTTCAAAAAGGTTCAACAGCCTTCAGAACGACATACTGTCATCTTACTGAATTAAATTATTAGTATATAATATGACCACTAGTAAACTTCAAAGTAATTCACAATTAATAATAAGTCACTAATGAGCAACATTTAGTTAAATTTACGAAAACTTACCGAAGGATGAAAGTGACTAATAACTGAACGCAAAGCAACATCCACTTCCATGTTTTTCATATCGATTAACAATAAAAATTCCCTGTGAATTAAATTAAAAATTAAAAGGATTGATTAACCAGATGAAATCTCAAAAAATTCAAAAACTTTATGCCTATGATTTAAACGAAACCATAAAAACTAAGTATTATCAAAGAAACTTACTTCAAAACTTTTTTCGCCAATGTATCATCGAGTAGACCAAAGTATTCTCCAATAGCTTGCCGATTTAGATTTGGTTCATAGAATAAAAATTGAGCAATTTTACTAGGATCAGACAATAAAATGTAATTTCTAATAAGATAATTGACTCCTTCGACTGGGTTCCTGTGTTTAAGTTAAAAAAAAAAATAAATATTATGAGAATGCATGTATGAAATAAATTCAGCGTGTGCAAGTTTTAATATCAATATCGTTCTTATTTTACCTGTTACACATTTACACAAATATGAATATCAAAGATTTCTGCCCTACATTAGAACTTTTCACACTTGTATTCAATTCGAAAAGATTTTTGCTAATAAGTATAAACACTCCAGCTTCTCGTGGGCTACTAATGGTCCAAAATAAAAATGGAAAAAAAGTAACAACCCTAATTTATAAAATCTAGCTTAACAATCGCTAATACAAATTCTATTTATCTAAGTTACTCACCTGTTAAATAAAGTGCAACCTGCCAATAAATTACGTTTATTATTTGCTCGCTTCAAAGACTGACGTAATGTAGTCGCCCAACTTGCCGACGAAGATCCTACTCGGTTTCTTTGTTCTCTCAACTCTCCATTCTGACTTTCCACATCTGTACCTTGGAATGCAGTACTTAACTGTGATGAAAGCCCTGAATCTTGATCACTAGACTTGTTCAGGTCGGAGTACATGTTGGTCAACGATGATCGTGATTCAGGTTTGTATGTTGCAAGTCCTGAGGATGTAGATTCGAGGAATTCCGAAGGAATCGGTAGCCTATGTCGACGTCTCATTGTAGGAGTATAGAATGCATTCGAAAGAGACTTATGAGATCCGCCGTTCTTATCAACCGAATGACTCAGACTTGTGAAATCCGAAAAAATTGAACTAACACTTGAATAAGTACTGTTTTGATTTTGAGAACACGGGCCATCGATTCCAGTAGGTGGGATGATAAACCATGGTTCATCTCCTTCACTCATACCTTTTTCGGAACCAAAGGTGTGTTTGTGAACAGCTTCAGTCACATTAGGCTTCACATCTTCTCTATTGTTACTCTTCAAAACAATAATTTTCTCGTTCTTTCCATCCCCAGAAGCACAACGGTTACAACTATTTGTTTGATCAACATCATGTGACACAAAGTTGCTGGGAGTATTGACTTCCTGAGATCTTGATGTTCTGAATTTTGTAAAATCAGAGTAAACAGGAATGATTTAGAACATACGAAAAATAATCGATCGATAAAAAAACATGCTTAGGAATTTAGTTAGGCTATGAGCAATATTTTCTGGATCATAGGGGATAAAAGCAAAAAAAAGTTTTACAAAGACTCCATATGTTTTCAAAATGGATTCTAGTTTATGGGAGAAATTTTACACCAGCTGCTCAAACATTTGAGTGGTCTGAGTCATTCATTCAGGCTTTGTCCGTTAGACCCACTTTACATATGTGCGTGTGTGAAAGGATAAAATTATGCACGTGGAAATCTACTTTTATATCATTCCCATATAAAACACATGGTTGTCTCACTCCACCCTGGATGTCTCTATCTTCATTCAAGCCGTCTGACCCTCTGATAGGGAAACAGGGTGGTGGGGTGAGAAATAGATGTTATAAATACCTGATCTTATAAGGCACACCACCATTTCACATAGATCTTCTATACACGTGTACGCAGAGACAATTTTTATTTATTCGTCTGCGAAATTCTCATTTAACATAGGTAGTTTATTTTTGGATCTGAGCTTTTTCTATCTGATCCACTTATGTCTCAGCTCAGACACTTAGCTATGGATGAGTCATGAGATTTATGTATCACGATAAAAACCTTGGAGTTTTCGCAAGTACAAAGCTCAAATATAAAAGTAAAACGAGAAAATTTCTCAAATTCCAAAAAATTAAGTTGTTACATCATTCAAGCTATAACCAATGAACTGACTAGTTGGTATCCTCTGGATCAATACTTTGAAAATTCTGACTAAGTTTTATCGTGAAGCTTAAAATTACAAATATTCAGAAGCTAAGACTGGTGACATTTAAAATTTACCAAACATCTATTCAATTGAAGATGGCTGAAGTCTCGGACTAGAGTAGAACAATCCCTTAAAAAGAGTCTTTTTATGAAAAAAAAATAGACAAAATGCTAGTGATCAAGGTGTGGTTAATGCTTGTGTTTAAATTGAATTGTACTATACATAATAAGCTATCAACATTTCACATTTACTTGACGGTTAAAATACAATCGGAATTCAGTTTTGCCAAACATAGAAATAAAATCTAAAACACAATTCAAGTTCAAATCTCTTATTAAGACAAACTGAATACTTCAGCAATATTGAAAGATAACTCACATTACAGAATTATTTGAAATATATCTATGTCTCAAGAGACTACGACGGGATTTAAAAACTTTAGCATAAGGTGTAATTGTCTGCTGAGCAATAATCGTTTCATTTTGTTTAGATAAACATTCTTGTTGTAATTGTTCCGACTCGCTAGTGATAACTGATTCTGTACAGTCAGTTGTTAGAGATCTATGAGGCAATGATCTTCGAGGATGTTTAACATTTTTCTCAAACCATCTCGTGAGACTGCTTTTACGTTTAGTACAAGTGGTTACACTTTTTGGTGGATTTGATTCAATGATATTGGATAAATCAGAGAGAATTGTGGTAGTTCCTTTAGCAGGCTGGTCAGAAGTCATATCGATCATTCCGTCAGTCAATTTTACATGCTCATCAGTATGTAATGGTGATCTATCTCTATAATTTAGTGTAGATCTCCGTCTTTTCCATTGATTAAAATCAAAATGAGGATTGATATTCTTCTTTTCTGATTTGTTTATATTATCGGTCACTGGATGATGATCAGCAGGTAGAAAAGTCATACTAAACCGTTTTACAAATCGTGTTAACTTTGAAGCAACAACATCTGATTTAAAGTCTACTTTTGATGTTGGTTGGATTAAATTTTCCGGATACGTAACTGGATTCAAGTTTCGATTAATATTTACATCAAATTTAGCAGCTATAACATGTTGTGGTGTCGGGCGTATAGATGTTAATCTCATCCGTGGTCTAGGTCTATTTGTAGTAAGTGGCCGTAAAGCATTCAGTAATACCGGCGGTGAAGATTCCATTTATTTAAAAATATGTTTAATGTGAAAATAATCTTGCTGCATTCAGCATATAATTTAATTCAATGTGAGATTTATTTATTTATACCAATCACCCTTTTTAATGCGCTTTATAAACTATGATAAACCGACCAATCATATGCTTAGGGATTTTTCAATGTAATTAACCAATCAGAAGTTAGTATAATGAAAACATGTCCACGCGACATTTTTACTCGTGGTTAAAAGATTAGAATTAAACAACAATAATAGGTTTAAAAAATAAATGATTAAATATACTAAACTAAGTGATATAATATGAAGTTTGATTTGCCAGTTCCATTCAGCAGTAACCAGGATATGATTTAACATTGCGTACGCAGTATTTTTTTTAATACTGACTCGATTGTCAAAAAAAAGTATTGGATCAGAGTCAAAAGATCAAGCCGTAGGATTTGTTTACAACATTGTGTGAATAAAAAGTGAGAAGTCCCTAATTACTGTAGTGAACTAATTTTATTTTTGAAAAATTCAATTTCCCAGAAAAAAGAGTTTATTTTTCTCTTCAAATTATTCACACTAAATTAATCATTCAACAAATTAAGGATTTTCGAAGTTTGTGTATTTTATGTCTACTTACACAAATCTTGAAGACTTGGAATAAAATTTCTCATTTCCACATTCGTTTCTTATTGTTTTAAACTTATCAGTAGACTTTATGCTTGTCAAACATTTACAATTCTGTATGACATTAACTGGATAGAGTTATTCAGCAGTACGTCATGATTATATGTTCCTCGCTGGTTAACACTCGTCTGTCATCAATACGAGATTGATGACTGAATTGGTATTCATATCAGCATTATTAGAGTTCACAGTTAGAAAAGTGGCCAATGTTCTTCTATACTGAGTAGTCTAGATGTAATATACACCCATATTAGAAATTCAAAACCATCAGCAAAAAATTTTGCTGAAATTAAATACCATTTATCATTATTCCTCTAGGTATATATTTAAAAAAAAAATGGATTAATGGAGTCAATGAACTCATTCATATAAACACATGTACAAAGAAAACTGAAGAAAGAGAAATACATCTATGTCTTTACTGCTAGACCCACTTGAAAACTTATATAATGGTATATAATGGTAATAATAATAGTAATAATAATAATTAACCTGTCTTAATAAACGTAATAAAAATGTCCAACTTCTAGTTTATGGACACGTTTATGAGTTTTTTTTTCACGAGGTCAATTAGTAAATGTGTATGTGTGCATGAGTGTGTGTGTGTGTGTGTGTCTGTGTAAGCTGGAACTATAAACAAGATTTACTTACTCTAACAATTAAATGTGGAAGAATGTGAAAATGAGGTCATTCAATGATTACATCGAATGTAGACAAAGATGAATGATGAAATGGATTTAAATGATTTAAACAGTAAATCAACATCATCACTTTTGACAAGTAAAATTCTATCCCATTCATATTGGTTGAATCACATTTTAAGAGAAGTATATATATATATAGACAAAACAGTAATCGAAAATCAAAAAAAACATTATATAAAATTTCTGTTGACTAATCATTTGTTTAGTTAAATTTACAATAAATGAACTAATTAAGTAATATAATATAATTTTACTTAATAAATTGAATAGGAAAAGAAATGTGTTTCCGATTTTTCGTTGTCTTTTAAAATCTTCAATTTGTACGTGATTAAGTATTGAAAATAATTTCAATGATTAATGCTGATAATGATATTTTTTATCAGTTTGACAGTTTTATTAAGTTTCAGAAATATGTTAAAAGAGTAAATAAGTAATAAAACATTAAACTATTGTGTTTTTCTCAAATCAAGTTTTTTTTTATTTTAAAAGTTTTGATTGGTTTAATTTTCTGCGTTCATTAAGATATTTAAATGAGATGATTCAGTTGAAAAACACTTTAATGAAGAGAAGAATTTTTAAAAAATTTTGATGCTAACATTGGTGCTGGACGAATGAATTTGAACCAAAAAATCTTTAGAATATCGAATTCGTATTCTTCAAAATAAAACATGAGACTTTTTACTAGCCTTCATCCACCACTCCACCAGGAATACAAACTTAAGAACTTCAGATTCAAAGGTGTGCTCTTAACCTGCAGACCATTGAGACAAAACCACTTACCAAAGTGTGCAACCACCTTTCACTAGCATTGCTGAGTGACTGCCTCACTTTAGACATGTGCTGAACGAGCACTGGTAAGGAGTTGTATATTACGGACGAAACAGTTATTCAGTGCTTCAATAATATAATATTCATTAACTGTCTTATCTTATTAAATATTAATCTGTTAGATTTTGTTCAGTAGTTTAAAATTTGGCAACCATTAACTAATTAAACAAAATTTAAAATCTGAGAAGTGAAAATATCTTTTCAAGTTTACTAAGATTTTTTCCTTTGGAAATTCGAAGGAACTTTCCAAAGAGAAAATTCACACCTGTGAAATAACTAAGTAGAATTTTTTATCAAATAATAACAATCTGTTTGGATCATTCAGTTAATTAATAATCAGTTTATTTTTGAAAATTCCTATTGAATGTTTAAACCAGTAGTTTTATTGAATAACTTCTCTCATCTGTCTCAGTGAATTACATTTGTAAACATTAAAAATTATGCATAAAGTATGTGATTGAGTTAATCTGTGTCCTTTGAAAAAAAACTAAGAATGTTAATGTTCTCTCAAGTCCTAACCTTCTAAATTCCTCATCATCTCTATCTTTCACTTTATAAAGTAATCTCACTGAACTATACTTCTTGAATACTACCCTATTCTCCGTTACCAGTAATTGTTCTACTATCTCCACAACTATGGGATTCGAACTGACAGTGGCGTCTCTGTGCTAATGCGGTATGGCAATCTGAGCTGATGTACGTACGTACGTACAAAGTTCTACGTTGTAATTGACTGACTGACTGATGATAGTTGAACAATAATGAAAATAAACTTTGTATAAGAGTTAGTTACGATCAAGAATTTTAATCTCAGTCTTTGTCAGTTACTGATATGGAAGATATATTAGTCATTGATTGATCTCATTCATAGTGCCATTGAAAACCAGAAAGCACTGGACATATGCTTCATATTACTTTAAGACTATTCGGCAAGGATTAAATCCAGAACCTTCAGGTTTTGTGGTAATTCCGTGACCATTAAAAATTCAGATTGACATCCAAAATTACAATCCAAATTCAATTAATTTTCAAGTTAACATGATAACCATCCATTTGATATAGGTGCTAGCTCTTCTAGTTATGATCTGATAATTGTACTGTTATTAATAGATTTTAAACTAAATTAAAAATAATAGACTACCAATCAATGCACACAGCAATCTTTTTTATCAACGATTAAGCCTATTTTAAATTGAATTATATTCATAAAATCGTTAACCAGGAAAATAAATTTTGTCGTTACATAATAAAAATATGTTTGTGCTTTTAATCCATTGTGTATTGATCTTGTCATTTTGTAAATACTGTTAGTAATGTTGTCACAATAATGAACATTAAAGTATCTTCATTTCGAATTGATTAATGTTTAAAACCGATCAGTTCTGGGAACATATGACTACGAATACAGTTAAAACAAAACAACAGACTATTTCATCATGTGATGACTTATGTATCATTAATAAGTATACACAGAGATGAATGCACACAAGCAAAATATACCAAATGTTACACATTTCAATGCACCACACGCTAGGGAAATGTTTATATTATGTTTTTACAGTTCCGGTTGATTAATTATTAAATAAAATCAATATTCTGTTAATGAATAAAGAACAAAATGCGGGTAATTGTTTCATACAAATGAACACGAGTATTCAATGTGTGAGTATGTATGTCTGTTTGTATGTATGTGTATGTTTGTGTTATGAAATTCACAAACTCTGATTAGTATACATACACATATTACGTCATATTTAAATGAGATTTTTTAATTGACATTGGTTTAGATCATATCTCACACTTGAAAAAAAAGAAAGAAGAAACATACAAATGAATTATGAGTATTTATTCATGTTTAATGAAGAATAGTTATGAATGATAATTTGAGCAATCATCACAATAATTTAATGTATATTTTGATGTATTCAATGTTTAAAAGAATAATGAATAAAGTTCAAGTTGATTTGTGATTAAATTTCATGAAAAAGTTTTACGATCTCTGTTAGATGAATTGAAAAATTAAAAGAAACTTTGAATCATGCATGTTCTAATCTATTTTAATGATTGAATGTAAAGTTATAGTACTGATGAAAACAGTAGAAAATTAATAGGAAATGAGTTTCATCTTACGAGTTACTTGGTTATATTTGGTTAATAGTGCATTAATTTGAGTTTATTCAGTTTCAGAACGAAAGTTTTGGTTACAAAGTTATTACAACTGCTTACAAACAATTAAATTTCTGAATGAATACTTCGTGAACAAAGTGAATCGGAGGCTTGATTAACATTACTAACGTTCAATTAACAATTCTGTTCAAAAATCAAACCATAGTATCAGGTTTTCATTCGAGTTTCATTGTTGAATGTTAAGTAACAATTCAGTTTACGCAATAAAGTCAACAACAACAACAACAACCATTTCGAATATCAGAAATACCAAAACTTTAAGCAAGACATACTGAATTTCACTATACATTTTCTTAATATCTGTTCTTCTTGACAAAATTACTGTTGAATAGAGAGAAATTATCTGACAATGACTACATTAGTTTTTTGTTTGCTAAAATTTACTACTGATAAATCTATCTGACATTTAAGGAGTAGTATCTCTACTTCTGGATTTATTGTGAAAAATCTTAACTAGTGTAGTTAAACCATGCTGAATAAAGACAATTATTCACTTCAGGCAATAAACGAGGATTGGATGATTATGAGAGTTGATTGGAGCTAGACATGTACACCAATGATTGCCTGCTTATTTTCCAAGAGGTTGAGCGTTAACGCACTAGCTCGAAATTCTTAGATTCGATCTCTGTACACGGGGTCTTAGATACGCACTGTTGAGGTGTTCAGTGCTTCTTGGTGTTCTAGTCA